TTGCCTATATCACTTCTTTAGTAGATGATGAAGGGTCCCAAGTTGATCTCAAGCTAGCTAGAAAGGAAGTTCACCTTCTGCTTTAACTTTTTTCTTTTCTTTTCTTTTTTGGCGAAGGAAAAAAGAAGTGTTGTACTTCTATCATATTTCTTTTAATGTTTAAGGCCCACCTTAGAAACATATATGACCTACACTTCTGGATATACATGTGTATATCCTTTGCATGGACCTACCAATAAAATCCAGATTCAGTTTCCACTTGTAATTCTCCTGTGCTTTCAATTTTTACTTGCTTAGCTGTAAAGCAAAACACAATTCCATTGATATCATATTTTAATGGCCCAAGATCCGAGTTACTAACAATTATGCACTAATAATACAAACTGTTAAGCTAATAATACACCATGTAGGCATCTTATAAATTCCATTCCAAAACTCTTTTATATGTAAGCAAAATTAGGCCCTTTGAGCTTCATGGCTGAGTTTGCAGAATATCAGCAGAGGTTTAGGCCTTCTCAGCCTTTGACAGAGATGATGGACATGAACATGGAAATGCTCAAGCATCTTCCAGAGCTGAATCCAAGCATCTTGGAGAGTTTCAGCATCAATGACTTCTCAGCGGACTCTTTGATGGCCCGCCACCAACCTGAATTTACAGCAACATATGATCACAACAACCTTTCAAGTACTTTCCATCCTGACATCTTGAGTACAGCAACAGTTGTTCATACTGTTACCTTGAATCAAAATGATTCCCATGACAGCAAGAAGCGAAAATCAACGGAACAATCAACCAGCAGCTACATTTCTCCTACAGCCTCTACAAACGAAACAAAGAAAAAGAACGTATGTATCTGTCTGTTTCTTGAAGTTTCTCCCATTTGTTTTCTAATCTCAGCTTTGAAGCCTTTGGTTAACATAAAGTTGAGTGGTACCTTTTCTTGGTGTTTTTAGAAACTAGGAGGAAGTAAGAAAGGTGAAAACAAAGAGAAAGAAGGGGACAAAGCAGAGGAAGTTATTCATGTTAGAGCTAAGAGAGGCCAAGCAACAGACAGTCACAGTATAGCAGAAAGGGTAAATTTATATGTTTTTGACTGAATAGATTTTGCTTCGTCAATAAAGCCTCATTGTAACCATTGGTTAGGCTTACTGTTTCTTATAACAAGTAAGAACAGGAATGGACTAATTAAAGTCATGAACTGAAGAATCTGACTGTATATGTTTCTATTTGTTGTCTCAGGTAAGAAGAGAGAAAATCAATAACAAGTTAAGGTGCTTGCAAGACCTTGTTCCTGGATGCCACAGGGTAAGAACCTTTGCACAAGTTTAATTTTGATTATAATTCATGCATGTATTAATATTGAATAACTCTTAAAAACATGTACTCCTGCATATTTGGAGTTGAAGTTTAAATAAGTTTAAATTAATTGATTAAAATCACAAGTGTTAAAAAATATATAAATTATATCTTGGAGTGTTACTAATAACTTAACATGAGGGGATGTTAGAATCCTATATTAAATAAGAACACAAATATCAAGCTTTCTATAAGCCCTTGGAAAAAAAACGAAAAAGAAGAAGTAAAAAACAGATTTTTAATATCATTTTTCCTAGATTAGATTAGCTGAAATTTCAAGAAAATTTTAGATGGATAAAAAAAAGGATTCAAAAAGATTTAATTTTTTAATAACTTTTCAATAACATATTATGGATTCATTTAGATTAGATAATAAAGATCTGGTTTTAGATTGTGCAAGCCCATCTAATCTGGGCTTTTTAATAGAATCTAGTATTATTAAAGCTTTGACCAACTAATCACGAGTTCAAATCTCATCGTCATCTTATTTTATTCGATAAAATTAGCTGATATGATTCCATAAATGTACAGTCAATGGGGATGGCAGTTATGCTAGAGGAGATAATCAATTATGTACATTCATTGCAGAATCAAGTTGAGGTAATTTCCTACGACAGAATCTGGTACTAATATTCTTACAGTTTCATCTTATAATTCCACACCCCAACATGTTTTGACTAACCTTGTTCTGTCAAAATTCAGTTTCTTTCCATGGAGCTTGCAGCTGCAAGTAGTTCTAATGACCTGAACAATGTAACAGAATCTGCAAAGAGGGCTCAGGTGCTCTTGCAATAACTTATTGAATCTTGAGTAGCTAGGAGGCTGCCTTACTTATTTATTTTTACCCAAAGTATTAATATGTTGACCTGCAGTTGATTAATTCCATCTCAAATAAGTCTGCAATGTATCTCTAACTGTGGTGACCTGAAAGGCTGAGTGCATGTATAAAATGACTGAAGCTGGAATATTAATTGTGCAGGGAACAGACTCAACTGAAGCACAGAAGACACAGAAATGGTTGAGAGAAAGATATGGAGAAATCACTTGCTTCCACTCTGCATGGTCCATTTGACTGCATTTTTGGCAATTACTCTTTGTCGCTATAAAGCACATGGATATGCTCCCTAGCTATCATCCTTTGCCATAAATCAAATATGTCTGTATTTATGTGGCAGACATGCTAAAGATATTTGCATTACTTCACAAAAAAATGTCTAGAAATAAAGTACAAAAAAAGAAGATTATATTGCTCTTTACTTGTCCAATTTGGGGGCTGATTTTTCTTCTTATTTTTTTTTAATATATCAAATTTGACTTTCTTCAGTGATCTGTGGTGTGTGACATCCTATGTATCGATATGCCCTGTCGGCATGAGCAGTTAAGCATCAATTTGATTCTGGAGGTTCTCTTGGCTTTATGCCCTGCTTGTATATCCATTGTCCATTCTGTGACAAAATTATACATGCACCCACTTTATGATTTGAAATTTGGAATTTGGGCCAGTTGGCGAGTCTGTCACACCCTTTAACCAGACACGTTCATGTGGTTCATGATTCTCTTGGTGTGCAAGAGACAAAGAAACAGGAAGAGAAAGAGTGTATTTTGCACCTGTCAGCAGAATCTAATTAATGATCTTAAGGGAACATGCATATCAGAAATGCAATCTCTATACGCCTACCATATACCAGAGATATGCAGGCAAATTCACGATCGCAATCATGCTTACAGAGCAACTTGTGAACGTAATCCAAGGAGCGTAGCGTGATGGTAAAAGGCTTGAAATCTGTATAGCAGGTCTCGAGTTCGAGTCAGGGCGTACACCTCTTGTACTAGAATAGTCAGGGTTTTACTCGCTCACCTGGACCCATAAAATACGCTTTCCAGGGGGTGAGGTTTTCTCGAATCCAAAAAAAAAAAAAAGTAATTGGTGTATGTTTCCCTATGGATCAGATCAAGTAGACTTCCCCTTGACCACCACCTGCATAAATCAATCTTATCCACAAATTACTAGTAGCTAAAGCAAAACCTGCTATGATGATCAAAATCCTTGAGATAAAAACAATTCCAAGTAGCTAGCTAGTTATAGAGATGCATGGTTCAAAGACAAGTCCAATTTATAAATATACTTTACAAGCAATGTCCCATAATTCTCTTGTTAGCTCTCTGGTGTCTGTTCTTTTAGGTGGCAGGTTTCTGTCATGCCATTGCCCTCCATCATACTTTTAAACCAAGCAACAATCATAGTTGCATGCATTATGGAAACAACAATAGTTCAAAAGCTAATCAATCGGAAATGCATCACCATATAATCAATTGCTTCATCATTAAGGCTCAATAACATTGAAATCATGGCAGCATATAGCGGCCTCTATCCTAGATAAAGTGAGAGCACAAGTTGGATCTTCTAGAAACGTATTTGTTGGAAGGGCATAACCTTCGCACTCCCGGCCATTAGTCTCAGGCCCAATAGGGCTGGAGATACCCTTGGTAAAAACCGGGAAAAAAAGAGAGATTATTAGATAAATCTTTGCAGGAAAACACATGTTATTTGGATAATAATTACTTGACCTTAAGCACTGTTCTCTTCCATTATCGATGAGTTTCTATCAGATGAAAAGCGCGGTTTGCGTTGAAGGGACAAGCAGACTTCAAACAGAATCATACAATAGACTTTGTGACATGCAGCAATAACGATAAATGGACACAGACAATGTAACGGATTGTCAGAATTATAGGTCCTACAAGCATATGGATGAGCAGAATCTCATAGATGTTGCCAATTCATGGACTTGGATGAGTGTAATGAAAAAGTTGGAGAATAATTTTATGGCACTGAAGAAAGCGAATAAATTCACAGATGCATTGCATCCAGAGATATAAGATAGAAGACAGCTTGAATGGGCCATATCATGCTCACAAGATGATACAGCAACATGGGTTCTCAGATTTCTTAAAGGAAAATGACCTTGAGAATCTTAAAAGCTTCTACTATCTGAAATACTCTTGTTTTCTTTGACTCCCTTTTGAAAAAAATTTCATCACTTTGGATTTTTGCTGGTGCATGCACGATGAACAAGGATCAGCACAGTAGCATTGATCATCAACCTCTCCCGTACCTAACGTAGAGCAAACAGAGAAGAAAAATACTTTAAAGAAATCAAGAACAGCAGATAAAACATCTTATCTACACTCTATATAAGTAGATCAACAAAGCAAACCAAACAATCAGGAGTCTACTTTATTTCCTTTCTCCAAAACGTGACCCAGAATACCATTCTAAGATGACTTGACAGTTGATAAAGGTGCTGTCTCCAAAGACCAAGAGTCCATGTCATAATTTCTTATGAATATTTTAAGGTGTATTGTAATTCAATAATTTAAGGTGCATTATATCAGGGGATAAGAAGATGATATAAACATATCCCCAAAGTTTCCTGATTTGAAATCCCACAATGCCTCTTGTCAGAGTTACTCTCGGATGTGAAAGAACAAACATCAGTAATTAATCCTATTTCTATAATTTGCTAATGCTGCGTGCAAAATCAGAAGTGCAGTGGTGGGACAGTTTCTAGTGAAGGCTAGTGATGATGATTAAAATAGTATCAACACTGTTCCTACTAAGAAGCAAAATAATAAAACCATCTAGCAGGTGGTTTAGTGGTTAGAACTTGAGACCAAGAAATTTGTTTTTTATGTGGTCTCAAGTTCGAGTCTTGTGGTTGCTAATAATATGATAGTTACTAGAAGATTATATAGATGTTAACTTTAGAGTTTGTGGGATTAGTCAGGATGCGTGCATACTGACCTGAACACCCACGTTAATTATAAAAAAATACCAAAATGTTCATGGTTTCAAGTTTGAAATTTTTAGTTCTTAAGAGTATTATATTCTTCACACTATGCTTCTAAAAAGCAAAAAATACTGAATTGCTCTCAATCAATCTTTTTTTAAAAAAGAGTTAAAATCAAATGATTAGGAATTAAATTGAAAAATAAAATCCAATAAAAAAAGATTAAAAACAAAATAAATAGGGATCAAAAGAATGAAAATAAAAAAAAAACATAAAAAAATCAAATATTAAGGGATAAAATTAAAAGATAAATAAATAAATAAAATTCAATACAAGTAAATGATTGAGAACCACTTTGTAAGGCCGACATACCTTTTGAGGTGGATGAGAGAGAAAAGAAAGGGAGAAATTATCGTCAGAACTCCTTCATGTCATGGAGATCAACACTCGTGTGACCCACCGTGTAGAAGGCAGCGTGATGCTTCAGAGGGCTACCAACAGCAACCGGGAGGTATTGCACACGTTGTCTAAAGAATACGGTCGTCTCACCTTTGCCAGCACATGCTTTGCATATACTAACCACTTTTTATTTTTATTTTAGAAAGACTATAACACGTTGACCCTAAAAACTATGTGATTATTGCAGGTTACAAAAAAAAAAAAAAAAAAAAAAAACACTCCTCAGACATAAACATTAGATGTTTTTTTTTTTAAAGGAAATGAGAGCAAGTTCATTGCAATAAATATATAAAAAATATAATTTTATCATATTTATATATATACTAGTTAGATGACCCGTGCGATGTCGCGGGTTTTTTTTTTGTATAAAAAATATCAAAAAAGTTAAGATCTAAAAGTATTAGGTCTTTCTGCAAAACTATACCTAAGAGTCTCGGGTTTGACTACAACGCCTGACCTAAGAGTAATATTTATAATAGTAATAATAATATTAAACTTGCATGATCCAAGTTTAAGTGGGTTTGACTGCAATATCAAACCCAATAGTTTTGGATGGAGGTTTGGCTACAAGGTTGTATCATAAATGTGTGATAATTAAATATATTAAGTAAAAAGAAAAAAAACATAGAAAAAAAAACCAACATGAAGAAAAAGAAAAAAAATCTGAACTAACTGAGTTAACCCTTCAAAGCCAGTTAACCCATCAAACATTGGATTCATGTCGTGAAAGTTTGATAACTAAATAGAAAAAAAAAATTAATGGGTTAACCCAGAATTAACTGGGCTAACCTTTTAAACTCGGGATCCGTGTCATGAAAGTTTAATAACTAAATAGAAAAAAATTTAACATTAACAAACTAAAATAAACGTAAACAATTAATTAAAAAGGAAAAAAAACAAAAAAAAACAAAAGACACCGGTTTTCACTATGGACTGCACTATGCAGTCCACAATCAATGGCATAAAAAAGGCAACAAAGCAAAAAGAAAAAAAAAACTAACTGGGTTAAAAGAAAAAAAAAACCTATAGGAAGAAAAAAACTAATGAAAAAAAACAAAAAAAATCTAAATTAACTGGGTAACCCGTCAAACCTGAGATCTGTGTTATGAAAGTCTGATAACTAAATAGAAAGAATTTTAATATCAACAACTAAATTAAAAAAATTTAGTTAAAAAGGGAAAAACAAAGAAGAAAAAACCTATACGGAGAAAAAAACTAATAAAAAAAAATGAATTAACTGGGCTAACCTGTCAAACATGAGATCTATGTCATGAAAGTCTTATAACTAAATAGAAAAAAATTTAACATAAACAAACCAAAATTAAAAAAAAAAGTAAAAAAAAAAAAACAAAACGCATTAGCCTTTTCACCGTGGACTGCACTGTGCAGTCCAGAGTCAAAGATATAAAAACGGCAAAAAAACAAAAAAAAAAACTAAAGGCATCAGTTGATAACTAAATAGAAAAAAAATTAATATTAATGAACTAAATTAAACAAAAAAATATTAATTAAAAAGAAAAAGAAAAGAAAAGAAAAAGCTATAAAAAGAAAAAACTAATGAAGAAAAAGGAAAAAAATCTAAATTAGCTGGTTTAACCCTTCAAACCAAGTTAACCCATCAAACCTAGGATTCACGTCATGAAAGTTTGATAACTAAATAGAAAAGAAAAATTGACGGGTTAACCCGGAATTAACTCGATTAACTTGTGAAACTAGGTTAAACCGTCAAACGCGGGATATATGTCATGAAAGTCTAATAACTAAATAGAAAGAAATTTAACATTAACAAACTAAACTAAACAAAAAAAATTAATTAAAAATAAAAAAAAAAGCAAAAAAAAAATTTCGGGTTGCCTTGTCAAGCCAGGTTAACTCGTTAAACCCGAGATTCGTATTATGAGAATCTGATAACCAAACAAAAAAAATTTAGTATTAACAAAGGAAAAAAAAATAAAAATGGATGGGTTAACCCGTAAAACCTGATATATGTATCATGAAAGTCTAATAACTAAATAGAAAGAAATTTAATATTAACAAACTAAACAAAACAAAACAAAATTAATTAAAAAGAAAAAAAAGCAAAAAAAAAATTGCGGGTTAACTCGTCAAACCAGGTTAACCCGTTAAACCCGAGATCCGTGTCATGAAAATCTGATAACTAAATAAAAAAAATTAACATATACAAAAGAAAAAAAACAAAAAAAAATGAACAGGTTAACCCATAATTAACTGGATTAATTCGTGAAACCTGAGATATATGTTATGAAAGTCTGATAATTAAATAAAACAAAATTTAACATTAACAAACTAAAGTAAACGAAAAAAATAAATTAAAAAGAAAAAAAATCTGGGTTAACTCGCGAAACCAAGTTAACTTGTTAAATCCAGGATCAGTGTTTTGAAAGTTTGATAACAAAATAAAAAAATTAACATTAACAAACTAAATTAAAAAAAATTATTAAAAAAAAAATAAAGAATAAAGAAAAAAAACAGAAAAACATTGGGAAAAAAACAAAAAAAAAAAGTTTTTTAAGAAAAAGATAGCTCAAAACAAAAAAAAAACAGTTGCTCAGCCTTTCACTGTGAATTGCTATAGTGAAAGACTAAGTAATTTTAATATATTTTTAATATATTTTTATAATTGAAGGATTTATTAGTTATTTTATTGTGAATTATCCTATGCACAACCCACACCAAAACACTGATAAGACTTGGTTTTATTTATAATGAGTGTGAAGAGTGACCTCACGTTACCTTTTAAAGTTTTATTTTTATTTTTTAATGTGCTTTAACAAAAAAGAGTGATATTGAAGTGACTACTAGGATATGTTTGTGCTCCATACATCAATTATCCACATTTGTTGTGGTGGCTGTCTGATCTCAATGTTCCTACATTGAGGAAAAGCCTCCCCGTAGCTATGTGCCCTAAGATTTATGTCTTGTGCATGAAATACCTCTAATTTCTATAGTGATTAAATGTGATATATATATATATATATATATTAAGCTTGCTGCCCCCCTTGTAATATGGTTAAGGTTAATTTAAGATTTTATTTACCAATCAAAATTTAATTTGATTTTTAAAAAAAATTTAAGAAAAATCTTAACATAATGCTATATCATTTTGAATTCATCTAAGTTGTTCAATTCATAACTCCAGTAGTAGATTAGGTATAACCAAGTTTAGTAACTTTCGTTTCAGCTTCTTAAAAAAAAGTTCATTTTTATACAACATTCCAGTCAATTGCAAAGGCAATGCTCAAATGTGAGAGTTAATCATAATTTTAATGGCTATTCTTTATAATACTGTTTGTTTAAGTTTCCTGGATGGAGTCCGCCAAAGTCCATAGAAGCCCTAACTAATTATTGGGCCTATGAGAAGTGGGCCAAGAAGAGGAAGAAGTCAAAGTCCAACAACTGATTGAGCCCAAAATTCTCAACTTCAAGAGAAAGAAATCGAAGAGTGAAGACTGGAGAAGAGAGTAGAGACAGATTCAACTTTGGATTTATTTATTTATTTATTTATTTTTTGTGAAAAAACACTAACGAGAAGAAAAACACTATTCACCCAGATTCTTTTCCCTGTTAAATTAATTTGGCATTGGATCACATTATCTAGTAATTTGATTAAAAATGATGACCCCAAGACAAATCAGTGAAGATCGAGGAGTAGGATCTTCTCCTCATTTTAGGTATGCAAAATCGCTTTCACTCTCTAAAACCCTAACCATAATGATGTCTCTCTTTGCCTCTTTATCTTGGTTTTGATTGAATGATTTTTTTTAGTGTAAGCTGCTAAGAAAGATTGTTTGTTTTTTTGAGTTTTCGAGGTTGTTATTAAGGTGGGTTTATTGGGATATCTTGTAAGGTCAGTTCTGTTTGGGGTTTTTAAGGTAATTTTGAGAATAAAGAACAATGTAATGGTTGTAACAAGTGCTTGATTTAGCGCTGTGATAGCTGTTTGGAGCTTACTTAAGGAAATCTATAGTTTAGTAATAACTGTATTAGGTTTTGAATGATGGGATTTTATTGGAGGGACGGCAATTTATGATTTTGGTGCGTTTCTGGTGGGGTTGAGATGGTTTCGGTTTCGGTTTCGTGTGAATTGATGCAAAATTGTCTTGCTAGCGGGTTGTTATAAGCTTAACATGGAAGCATGTTTGATTATTCATTGAGTGCTCAAGCTGTTTTGTTTATGCTTTATGCTTTCTTTTTCAATGTGTTTGTGCTTGATATAGTGGAAGCAGTTTGTATCAATGATTTTGTTTTTGGTATTTTGGTGTAGTCACACTCCATTGCAGATCATCCATGTTATTGGCAACTTCTTGAGAATATGGTCAGTTTATTCGATGTACCGCTATTTGTCTCAGACTGGAGCTTCGGTGGTACTTTTTATATTCAGCTGTTTGATTCCATCGTCAATCCTATTTTTAGCTTTGCAAAAGCCTTGGAAGGGGAGAGCACTCTCTAATCAGC